AAGTTGACTCTGGCGCTCTGTCTCAGTTAGTTTTATATGGGAAGTTTGGGGCGGGAGGGACATAGGTGAACTATCACGTTAAGAGTCAGAACCGCTTTCCATTTCAGTCTGGACGAGTCAGCTCCCTGCCTATGATTCCACCCCCCGCTGAGAGCCCCCTGCCCACAGAATGCAGGAGCATTTAGAATCTCGATTGTTCTGTTTCACTCTTTACATAGACGCTGTAGGGGGAAGAATTCTAGCAGCAGATGTTTCTGCAAGGCCAGATTTTTTAATTTTCTGCAAAGATGTTTAGAGGTGTTTATGTTCAAATGTCTGAAGAAAGCGCTTGGAGCGGAGGATTACCTAAATCTGGTCCTGTTTTGCTCTAATGTAGGCCCTGGCAAGGAATGTGCTGATGTGATCGAGCCTCAGTCTATCAGTTTCCTCTCTACAAGAATGGTTTTCAGCGTCTGTCTCTTACCCCTCCCCAAGGGGTGTCTGTTTAAGGGGTGTCTGGCTCAGGAGTGGATGCCGCCAGTCCTGCCTCGGGGGTTTCCCCTCCCTCCTCACTCTGGTCTTGGGGCTCCTCCTCTCCCAGGGGGCTCAGTCGCCCGACTTCCAAGTGGGACGGATCTCGTAGGAGATCTGATCGCAGAGTTGAGGCTGCCAGAGGGAAGAGCTGGGGTGCAAAGCACACAGGGAAAGGGGCCCGATGGACTGTGGTAGAGGATCGTGGATGTTTCGTGGCAGGTGTGGCGGCGTTAGTGGTCATCAGCCAGTGGGTGACAGCGGACCGTGATCCCACACACCCTAAACTGGGCTTCCTGAATGGGAGCTTCTGGAAGAAGGCAGGCATGTGGTAGTCGCTGTGAGGAACAGAAGGCATGTAGGGGCTCCCCTGGGCTTTGCGCTCCGCAGTGTTAGCGCTTTGGCAGGTGCCTATTTCAGACACAGCGGCAGCCAGTCTCTGGTCCTGTGCTGGATACAGTGTATTAGCCACAGCCGGATCCCTTGGACATCTGAGTAGCGAAGGAAGTAATGACAGTATGCAACTCCGTGAACAACACAGGAATTCCTGAGATCACCCCGATCCATGCTTACTTGCGAGAGAGGGAGAGGTCTGCCTCCTTGAATTAACCTCAAGCTTTCTTCCCCTGAAGTCCTCCTTGATCACTCATCAGCTGATGAGTACAGGGTAACTGATCAATTAACTTTGCAGTGGCGAAGCCTGGAGAGTGTCTTGTCAACTAATGATACCATCAGCATCACCAACAGAGGCTAACAGTGAGTAACAGGATGCGCTAAGCGCACCAGCCCAAGTCGATCGCAGACACAGAGCAGTGAGGACACAGGACAGCGCCGCGGCTCCTTACCCCGAGTGCACGAGTGGCAAGGGAACATCAGACAAAGCCAAGGCAGGGGACTTTTTTTTGCTCAAGTACGGATCTGCGCTTTACAAAATGGCCAAGAGTATGCAAGTCCAAGAAAGGCCAAGGAGCCCTCCCGGGTGGGATGGGAGCAGACGCGTGACGGCACCCGCCTTGCGTGATCTGGGTTAGATCCAGGACCTGTGCAGAACACGTCTGGTACAGTCAGAGAAATCTGAATGGGAATGGAGCTTTGCTTAGATCACTGTGACTTTCTGGATTTCAATGGCTGTGCTGTGGTTTTCTAGAAAAATGTCCCGCGTTATGGAAAAAAATAGACAAATAACGGGACAGTGTCTGAGACTGAGGGACACGCACGGAGGCCCAAGTGTGCACAGGATGTTGAAGGCCACCTACGAGGGCTGCCGTGTGCTAACGCTACCTGTGACCTCATGAACTCTTGCTTAGTAATGAAGCTAAAAAAGGAACAGCTGTTCTGTATAATTTAAACACCGCAGCTGGAGCAATTCCTATTAAATACTTTTATCAAGACAGATGCACATGAGTCATCTCCCAAGAAGAGCCGCTGCAGCTAGCTGGTCAGGTATGCTGTATGTCACCCAGAAGCACCCACATCCCAGAGGTGATTCCTGCAGGGATGAAGAGTCAGGTCTCAGCTACTCCTGGGGAGAAACATACCAGCGAAGTCCCCTATGTGGTGGGACCTGAGGGAGCCAGGTGCCTCAACACCAGCAAAAAAAAGCAAAAAAAAAAAAAGCAATTTGGCGAACGAAGTAACCTGCTGTTGTTTGAGCTGTCGGAGCGGCTCCTTTATTTCATTACCTGCCTTCAATTTAAGCTTTTTTATGGTGCTGAATGCCTGATTCTCCTTATTACATTCTTTCGAAGGCAGCTTTGCTTTACACAGGGACACCTGTCCTGTGAAAGTCTGTAGATGCTTTTTAACTGCTCTTGCAGCCACTCGGGTGCGCAGCTGGCCGGAGAGCACCGGGCAACAGAGACAGCTGTTTGGCCGACAGAATTGGAACTGGCGTGGGACATGTGCAGTGACTGTAAACAGGAATGAATTTTCCTTAACCTTTATGAGTCAAATATTTATTTTTGGAATATTAGCAAAATCAAAAGAATTACAGTGTTCTTTTAATTTTAAGTCAAAACACACTGACATGCGGCTTCTAAGAGGTTTCACTGAATGGGTGACCTTAAGTTGAAGCAGAAACGACTTCAGAAAAACTGGCGTTTCTTGCCCAGCATATACAGCATCTATTTCCGGCCCAGTAGATCGAAGCAGCACTTTTTCAATAAAGTCTATAAAAGAGGTAATGAAATCCCTCTTTCCATAAACTGTCCATCAGATATCGATGATCTCATTAAAAGCGCCCAAGTATGTGATCATAGAGACATTTATGTAAAGATGACTTTACTTTCAAGATCCCAGGACTAGCAGGGGACTTTACTTCCAAGATCCCAGGTAACTAGCAGACACAGTGCAAGAGAAAAATGTGGGCCCTAGTTAAACAGGTATACCTCACTACAATAATGAGTTAAAGATAAAATTAAAAAGGTGACGAGTGTCAAGATAAGGAAAAGAGCAGCGAACAAACCAAAGTTCCTTGCGTCTCACGCCCACGAAGTGGTCCTATCCACATACAAGACGCCTGAACTGTGAGCCTCAAACGCAGGGAGTGAGTTGCAAAGGGAAATGTTTCCAGAGTAAATAATGGTCAATGACCAAGGGACTGCTAAGTACAAGTTTAAATTTGAGCCTGCAGCCAAGTTCAAGTGAAATTTATTATTATTATTTTTAAACCAGTAGTTGGAAGTAAGACTTCACAGTTTGAATCAAAGGATTATGTGGTTAGAAGTTTTCAGAACCTTAATAAGTTTCACAGCTTGTCAAATATAAATGGTATTTAAAAATTGCAGAGCCAATGGGGTATTTAGGAGCCATCCAAGTCTGACAACCTAATTGTGCAGGTTAAGGGAAGCAGGTCCAGGGAATAAAGTGACCAGCAGTTTGAATCTGTGGCCTGTGAGCCAATACTTGGCTCCTGCTCTGTGTTAAGTTCCTATCCATAATTTTCTCACATGGAGATATCGCGCCATGTGAAAACATAAATAGGTTGAGTGAATTGATGAACTCGATTGGCAAGAGACCCATTTGGGGGTATAAGTCCAACAAGTCTGAAGCATTCTCACTTGAGTTCCTGGCCTTTCCAGGCCAGCTTGTGCCCAAGGCAGATCACCTACTGCGAAGAGAAGTAGATCATGGTGTGAGCACAGGAGACAACAGAAAGTTCTGTGTGTCTTGTAAGGTGCCGGTGGGAGTGTAGATAATTTCCAGAGTCAATAATTTCCAGAGTCTACTCTCAACCCTGCACCTGAGTAATTCCCTTTGCAAATATTTTGTCTAGATAAAATCTTGTGCATATGTTTCAGGAGACTTTTTTTTTTTTAATGGCCATAGTAATTTTCTTGGTAAAAAAAAAATCCCAAACTGAAAACACAATCCAAATAAGTATAGAAAATGGATAAATATATTTGGGGTCTCCATCCTCTTGAATGGCATTTGCAAAGGGTAAGAGGAAGAAACGATAGCTACCTAAATGGGTGTGGATGAGTTTCAGAACCATCAATGCATGGGTGAAAAAGAAGCCACATAAAAATATAAACATACTGTATTGTCTATATAAAGTAAATGCAAAACTAAAGATTATGGCTGAAGGTCGGATTCATGCAAATACAATAGCATCAAGGAAGTGATAAACATGAAGTCCACGACAATGGCTATTTTAGGGAGAGATGGAGCATCATGTGGTAAACAACACGGGAGGCTTAAGAGTCTATTTCTCAAACTGTTGGTGGTGGGACTGTTCCCTCGTAAGCTGTTGGTTTGATTATTTTTTGGGTCTATGGTCCAGTGTCTCTACCCCTCTCTTTCTGCCAGCCTGTCTGTCTGTCTGTCTGTCATCCTGGCAGCCAGCCATCACTGAATTACCATCTCATATTCCTTTCTTTTACTTACTTTTATTTTACTTATGCATGTAAGAACTGGGGTGCAGGCCAGAGGTGTGGAGGTGAGAGGATTCACCAGAGACAGAGTGAAGAGAAGAACACACAGAGCTACTTCAATACGCTGCTGAGGGGAGCAACGGGTAAGACAGAGGAGGTCTGCTGTGTCACGTGGGTCACTTCCTGGCCGGGGATTGAACTCATTTCCAGTGGCTGAGGATAACTTGATGCTGCTAAGACTTTAACCTCTGTGACACCAGGGAGGCCCCCAAATCTCCTATTTCTTTCTCAGGAGAGCATACGTGTGTGTGTATTATGTGTACGTATGTATCTATACCTATATCACAAAAAGGATGAAAAAAGAATAAATGAGGTATTGGCTCAAAGTGGCAGTTAATATATCATTTAAGCTGCTTCTCCAAGCAGTTCGAGCTTTTCAGGACATACTTAATAATCATAAACAAAAGGCCTACAATGCGAACACAGTATCACTGAGCTGATCATCTTAGCAATTTGTTTCTTATTTTATATAATTCTATCAATTAGAAATTTTGTTTGGCAATACTGACAGAAATGTCCACAAGTGACTGATATGAGATAGATGTTTGTTTCTCTCACCACAAGAAGTAATTGATGTCATTGTGAACTCAAGGTCATCCTCAATCTCCTTTCTGCCATCCATGCAGAAAAGCGTGAGTTTTTCCTCATCGCCACAAGATGGTCGTTAGCACTCCAGTCATCTCATCCGTGTTCCTGGTTCAAAGAAAGGAGAGGATGAAGGCAAAGAGATAAGCTGGCCAAATCGGTTGCTTGCACACAGCTTTTACAGAAGTTTCACCCAGTGTCCTTTCCTTGCAGCTCATTGGTTAGGCAATGTCCTGTGGCCACCGTGAGCTGCAAGGAAGTCTGGGAAAGGTAACTAAGCAGAGATTGTTCTTAACCCAGCTGAGGTGTTGTTACGGAGAAAAGGAAAATGAGTAATAGGAGGGCAATTAACTGCTTCTTCCCATGCTACTCTATGTTTTTGAATAAGAAAACTGAAATAAAGATGCAGTTCTGAAATTAAAAAATAATTAGGCTATTATCCAATACGAGACTATGATGGTAAATCACTCACCCAAGTTAAGCCACTGGGGTTTGTTTCTATGTTGAATTCCTTTATTATGAGAGCATTAATTTGACTAGACTTAATGTGACTTACGTTTTAATATGTTTGAATTATGTGTTGAAGCATATTTGATTTTGAATTATATTATGCGTTACTAGTATATTAAATGCAAACTTATTGATTGAAAAGCTCAAATAGTCATTCAAGAAATCAATGATCACCATTTCCAGTGTTTCGCACTTAGTGTTTGTATTTTACTAAATTCTAAAATATTGTTAGTTTATATGCACTCAACCTCGTTTTAGTAAAACAGAATAACTCCTCAACTAGAATAAATGACAGTAGCATTTTACACAAGACTTTAAATATGAGAAGTGTGACTTATTCTTTTCAACGGTTGAGCCACCAAATCAGTCTTATTCAGATATATTTGAAAATAGTCAATAAAATATGCTGAAGGCAAATTCCTCTTCTGTAAATGTCACATAATGGCTTTTTTGCTTCAGGAAGGAAAAAAAAATATTTCTTTAATCCTCCGGATTATTTTACAAAAGTTGGCAATGCAAAATTCTCTGAACATGGCTGTGCATTCAGCTGTAAAATAAACAAAGATCTAACACATGCCCCCCACTGCTGAAAATGAATTCCTTCAGACAGGAGCTGACTGATGCCCGTCACAATGACATCAGCTTATTGTGACCCTTCCACCATGTAGACAAAATAACGGATGGGGTCTCTCAGATCCACCCAGGCCAAGGCTGTGAGTCACCCCTCCTGCCTGCCCCTGTAACTTCCTCTGAGACACCACACAAGGGACTGCCTTTGAATCGTATCTTTCAAGCAGACTGCCCCCCAAATTCAGATTAACAGTGGGTGCTAGCTCTGATGGGCGAGGAGCATGTGGACATAGAAACACCTGTGGCGAGGTCCTGGCCATGTCTCGCAGGGAACCCAGTCTGCTCGTCACCACACAAGCACGCCAGAGAGGAGATGAGGGCCAGGCTGGGGCGCCCAAAGGACCCTGAGAGAACACTTCAGAACACACCATGCTTACGCTGCCTCCTTCTTTCTTTTTTAATCTATGTCCACGTTCTCCAGCACTTGCTACTCTCTAGCATTTCACAAGGTTTAGAAACCCAAGGGCCAAATCAGTCTTTGCATCAGAAGTATCTCATAAAGATGCCAGAGACAAATGATATTTTATTATTTTTAATTAATTAACTTTTTTCTTACATCATTATAGTCCATATCACCCTTGAGCGATCACCCTATTCCATTGTGTTCTTCCCTCTTCTGTTTAAAAAGACATCCTTCGGTATGTGGGGCAGCCAAAAAATGCTTCTCTGCTTACCCCTATTTACTTGAAAAGCTTAGGTTTTTTTTTTTTTTAGATTTATTTATTTGTTCATACAGAGCTGGGGTACAGGCCAGAGGCTCAGGGGTGGCGAGAGGCTTCACCAGAGACAGAGCGGGGAGCAGAACAGGCAGATCGACGAAGTACACCACTGAGGGGAGCAGCGGGCGGGTCAGGAGAGGTCTGCCGCGCCCTGTGGTCACCTCCGGGGCAGGCGGGGATCGAACTCATGCAGAAGTGGTTTCAGCTTCTTAGTGCTGAGCTTTATCCTGCTGCGCCACCAGGGAGGGCCCTGAAAAGCTAGTCACCTAAAGCCTTGCACCATCCCGGTGTCACCTGCTCTGATGCCTCCATCAGACTGAGTGGAGCACTGTGTGTAGGGTAACGTAAGCCTCATGACCACCTTACCAGTATTCCTTATCTCCTTGGTATGTGGGCAGGTCAGCAAGTCTCCAGATCTCAGAAAATGGGAAAATCACATCTACTTTACTCCCTTCTCTGGGGGATCAATATTACAAATGGAAAAAAAGGCTTCAAAAAACTTTTATGTCCGACTAATAGGTTCTCAGTAAAAACTGAGAGCCTGCACCCACTTTTATGGATGTGAGCACAGATTTGGAGGTGATGTGACTTCTAGGTCATCACTCAACATGGGTGCCACAGCCCAGACATTTGTCAGCAGTGTGGCCACAAGTCCCATGACAGCCAATGACTTCAAGAACCTGATTACTGTAGCTTTGTACACACATCTGCTAACTTTAAGCACATGCACATGTTAAATCAAATATAAATCCATAGCCCCACATCCTGAGAGGGTGGTTTTCCTTCCAGAGGGATAGGATCTACTTGGAGTTAGGGGTGGCAGTGGGCAAGTTACAGTGCAAGGAACAGCCATTTACTGTTCAGTCACAGTCCATCTCTTAAAATCCAAATATTCATAAGAGTAGGGCAACCCAAGTCAAGGATGAGTGACAGGTGGTTGAAGCTGCTCTTGTTTGGCCAGTTATGAGGGTTGGTTGAGCATTTCAGATAGAGCATGATGATATTTCAGACCCTAACTGATGACATAATGATGGAGACCCCAGGTGTGCTGCGACCATACACTTAGCTGCATGTGATCACACTGTCTGTGACGTCAAGTGACAGCAGAATGGCCAAGTACATATTGCTCAGAAGGCATCCTGTATGCTAACTAATGCCTGACTACAGCTGCCTCCACATTCTGTCTCTGGGTAACACTATCACAGTGCCCAGGAGACCATCGAAGTGGAAGAGGCGAGTTCTTGTATCCCGAGAAGGTCTTTGGTGGAGACCCCCACTGATTACCATAGCAATGATGTAGTGAAGTCATGAAAGTGAGTGTTCTCCAGATGACTTCCTGATGGCCATGACAACTGTGCCTGCCGGTGGATGGACTTAACTTCTCAGGTTGTGAGCTGATGCACCATACTGGGCCCTCACTCCCTACGGGGCCCTCGTGCCCCAACAGAGGCAGTGAGTCAATGCTCTCCCCTCGGGACACGTGATAGGGTGGGGTCAGTTTTTCCCCTTTCTTCTTACAGAGACGGTGATGTTTTCACAGACACACCTCTTGTTGCCTCCCATCTGGCCACATGGAGAAGCTGGGTCTGTTGGACCAGACACAGTCATTGGTCAATTACTGAGCTTCACTGAAAGCTACGCCACACATTTCCATGGCTGGCCTGAATATGTCCTCAGTTGCCAGTTTGCTTATTTATGGAAAATGGGGACAGTGTTCCCCTTTTCATTTTACTGGCACTAAAGACTCTAAAGAGTCACTTTGTATAGGTTAACGGAAGCCTCATGACCACCTTCCCAGGCTCATACTCTTTCCTTTTACCCACGAGGAGCATACAGGGCCCCACACTAGATGGCAGACTGGGTTTGGACCAGGATACACTGCTACCCTGAGTGAGGATAGGGACTCATGGAGGGGTGTCTTGTTCTGATCAACAATATCGCCTGTTCGTTCCATTACCCACACACTCATTCTCCCTGGAATACTGGATCCACATAGCAGGGTTATTTAACGTATCCTCAGGAAGATCTGCAAGAGAAAATAAGGAATCCACTTGAAGAGCTCTGGAAAAGCACCCTCGTCTGTGGCTCCCGCAGACCCCATGCAAGCAAGGAGGCCAGAAGCCCATCTGTGGGTTCTGTCCAGTCTGGCTGTAGCTGGGCAGGGGGAGACCTTCCTCCTGGGGGTCGGGATCACTGCTTGTCTAGCCCAAGAGCCTTGCAGAACAGCATGGACAGGCCTGGGGCTAGATGCTTTAGAAAATGCAAGGCACATCCCAAGAGTTCTCCATCTAGCATTTATTATTTTGCTAATCAGAAAATAAAAGCAAAGAAAACATGTTGACAGAAAGGAAGTTCCCAGTGGGGAGTCTCTCCTTCCTTCTGAACCACATCAAACAGTCAGAACACACCACCACCCCTAGGGAGACAAGAGCTGGGGACGGTAGGCCCCTCTGCATACCACCCCTCCCCTTCACTTTCAGGGAAACTGAGGCTCCATCCCAAAATATCCAGGTGCCTCTGAACACTTCTTCCCTCTTACTAAGTGGACCTGGTTATGCCCAGAGTGAGCTTAAAAAGTATTCCATCTCTAAACTATTTATTTCTGGCATGTGTTGGGATTTCCACTGCCCTTGACAGAAATGTAATTTTAGCATCTCTCTGGAGAACCCACAGCAATAAATTCGAGCAATAACACAATGTGATTCTCATGTAAGAGTAGACAATCAAACCCACACAATGATTGGGATATTGCATAGGTAGAAATACAAGAGGGATGAATGGATAATAGATGGAGAGATGATACATGGGTGGATGGTTAGATGAATAGATCGATAGCTAGCTAGCTAGATGAGGGATGGATGAACAGACAAATGGACAAATAAAGAGCTAGATACGCAGATCAATATATCTATTTATCAAAAGCATATTTAAGCCTGAGCGTCTTTTCTGTCCTTTGGCTCCTTGGCCCCTTGAAGAGTGGCTGGCACGTGCTAGGGAGTTGGGCCTCGATGCCTATTTGTTATTGAAAGAATGAAAGACAACGTGTGCATTGATCTACTTCAAATAAGGGACTCATGGGACAAAAATGATGATTCATGGGGAAATAACAGAGTGTATCTGCTGCTTTAAATGCTGGAATTTTAGAAGAATGTGCAACTGGCATTTATGATTCCGGCTCCTTGCTCCTTGCCATGAGCACAGGGCACACTGCCACTGGCAGGCTGGGGCCATCCATCACGTCCATGCTAT